CCCTGCACAGGCGCGGCCGCCCCCGGCTCCCTGCGGGAACAGGCAGGCCGTGAGGAAGACCCCCACTCTGCGCTCTCCAGCCATGCAGCCCGGAGAACGTCAACCTGTCTTTCATTTCATTTCTCACAGCGCATGAGGACACCAAGCTTTGGAAGTCTTTTGATTGACACAGCTGTCCTAAAAAAGCTTTGTTGTGAAAGCTCTGTTGAAAAGCCGTTGTGTTCAGACTAACTAGCTCCGCTGAGCACAGTAAATGCAGACGACGCAGCGGCCCTGTTTATTTTAAGGAGTGTTGCCTACTCTCCTTTTCATTGTACTCACTCGTTTACCGTCCCTCACATTAATGCAAGGAAGGCACAAGACAAGCGTGGGCTCAGACAGGCCTTACAGCAGCTACAGTGTGTCGTTCCTCCTTCTGTGGAATGCAGGTGAGTGGGCAAAGCAAGCAAGTAGATTTCTGAGGCGCCCCCTGGAGCTGGGGCGGAGCGACTCACTGATTCTGGTGCTTGTTTCCCCGCATGTGGGCCTGGTACATCTCCGCCGAGCTGAGAGTCACGCTGCAGACAGGGCAGACGAAGGTTCCCCCTCCCGCTGAGTGAGAGAAACAGGACTTCAGGCACAGAAAACATGCAAGCAGAAAATATAGAACTGTGTGTGTGTGCACTGCTGCTTGAACTATGTTCACTGCATTTTACATGATCATGCAGCTGGTTAGTTTGATCCACAGGGGCTTGGCTCGGCTCGGCTCCTCTCCAGCTCCTCAGAGGACACCCTGAGGCTCGCAGACCCTCATCACTCAGGGGTGCGCACCTGAACAGGTGGCTATCATTTAAAATATTTCTGTCACATTTTTCACTTAGATCTCCTAACTGACCGAAACACATGAACACTGAATGACACAGTTTGCTTTCCACCTGCAAAAAGCTAATGCAATCATTTCTCTTAGAAAAAGAGGTTTCAAAACTGTACCAGATAGAGGAATCGGACTGATAAAATACCCTGAAAATAAATTCCAGGGTCTATCCGCATTAAGCTAGCGCCTGGTCTCTGAACAACCCCTAGTTTGAAAGACATATTGAGGCATACTGGGGCTCAGTGGGGTGCAGTGGGGCTCAGTGGGGCTCAGAGGGGCTCAGAGAGAAGCAGTAGGGCTCAACGGGGCTCAGTGGGGATCAGAGGGGATCAGAGGGGATCAGAGGGGAGCAGTGGGGAGCAGTGGGG